GGTGTGCAATGGCTGCCAACAGCAGCCCCCTCAGTAGGTCTGCAGCTTGTGGGTATGTATAGGCTGCTCTAGGGGACCTTGGAGACAACCCATTGCTGCTGTGGGATGCCTCTGGCCTGGCAAATTTCTGCTCTCCCTAAACTAGGCTCCAAACTGGGATGAGAGGTGCTTTTGGGAGAACCCAAGGCACAGTGGCTAGAGTCCACATCGGCCAGGCCGTCATGTCCATCCGCCCCAAGCTTTAAAACAAGGAGCCTGTGATTGAGGCTTACACAGCGCCAAGTTTAAGTTGCCTAGGCACTGGAAGGTCACATCTCCAAGAAGTGGGCTTCACCAAGTTTAATGTAGATGAGTTTGAGGACATGGTGGCTGAGAAGCCTCATCCCGGATGGCTGTGGGGTCAAGTACACCCCCAACCAGGGTTCCTTGGACAAGTGGTGGGCCCTGCGTTCATGAAGGCCTTGGTAGCTCTGTGCCCTGCCCCACCTGTGCCCACCAAATAAAAATCAAACTTCCTGAAAAAAAAAGTTTTAATTGTGTATGCGGTAACCAGTGAGTGCATGACCCCAAGGCACTCTGACAATGTGCCAGACCCAGCAAAAGCCTTCTCTTAACAGCCCAACATAATAGAGGGCACAGGCTCCCAAACTTTTTTGGCCCTTTAAAAAAAAAAAAAACCTCAGCATCCACTGGGCAATTAAAATCGTTTCTGCTTACAATCTATAATCCTGGTTAAGTGTACGTATGTGTGTGTCTGCAGCCCCCTGGATCGCTCCAGTGGCCCCAGGGGCAGTATAGCCCATTTTGGGAAACACTGATAGAGGTCATCTCTCCCTGCCCCAACTGTGTTCATGAGAAAACTTTGTAGAATAAAATGAAGCTGATTGAAGTAAATAAAGGTAATGTGAGGTATACAAAAACTACACTGGAACACTGGGTAAATCTCGTTGGAGAAGTGTTCCTAGACTACTGGGTCATAGAGAAAGAAGGTGCACGTTGCGAGGCCAGGATCAGAACTAGCACACGGAGGGAGAGAAATACGTATGATGGGAGGGTTAAAGAGTCCCTCTCTGCCTTTAAACCGGTCAAGACTGGCAGACACATGGGAAAGCGGGACCCACGGCATCCTGTTAGCAAACAGTGGGGTCACCAACACGTGTGAGAAACACCACCAAGACCACCAGACCCTTCGATCCGCTGTTGAAGCAAAAGCACCATGCCCACTCTCTTTCCTGGGAGGAAAGAAAAGGCAGTGAGCCACACGCTCTACGTGAGAGCAGACGCTTCACTGAGACCGTGCGGGGCAGAGTGGGGTGATGGGACAGGGGAATGCCGTCCCACACCCGCATTCCAGAGACCACCTAAGTGAATGGCAAATACCCGTGAGGGAACACAAAACAGCAGGGAACAATTTCAATTATGTGAGTATTTATAAATGCATGGAAGGTAGTTCAAAAACAATGAAAATACTTGGGCTTATTTTTTTAGAATTTAAAAATATTTTAAAACCAGTAAGTCGGTCGGTCTCATCTTCTTCCTCCCTCCCTTCCCCCTCTCCACCCCACCCCCCAAAAAAGAATAGACATGCCCTTATTAATCCAGGGAGCAATATTTATAAGTCTGATAGATCATGCATAATCAATGACTGACATAAACAGCCACCTCTTACCTGCCCTCCCCCCACCCAACCTCCAGGCTAAATTAATATCACTTACCTTAATTCATCTTGCATTTCTGCTACCTTATCCAATAAAATACTTAGTCGATCCCATCTCATATTTTTACATTCCTTATGGAAGTCAAAGGCAATGTATCTATCAAAAAGAAATAATAAATAAAAATAATAAATTCAGAACCTTACCCAAGAGTATCCCCCCTTCCTGTCAGTAGCACCTCCATATACCAGTCTCCCCTTACAGCACTGTGCGGATGTTATGGGTACCCTGACACACACATACCCCTACCTCCTCAACTTCATACCTATGGGTGACAGAAATACACAGACCACCACCCCCCCCCCAAGTATATAGAAGCACATATACAAATACCTATCTTCATATGTTCTTCTGGGTCCCTCAGGCAGGAAGAGGGGTGAAATTGAGCAAAATGCTAGAGAAGTGTATTTGGGTACAGTAATCAGAAACATACTGCAGAAAGCCGTCGTGGTGAAGTGGTCAAAGAATTCGACTGCTAACCAAAAGGCTGGCCGTTCGAATCCACTAGCCAATGCGTGGGAGAAAGACATGGTCATGGCTTCTGTCAAGATTTACAGCCTTGGAAATGTGACGAGGGAAATTCTACTCTGCACTCCAGGGTCAGAGTTGCTATCAGCAGTCAGGTGGACACAGAGGCACCACTAACTGAGGAGCACAGGAGTATTTTCTACCACACCCACTGCTGTCGACTGCAGCTCAAAATGACCTGCTTCTGAGGCTGTCAGTCTTCAGAAGCAGACTACCACATCTTCGTCCTGTGGTATGACTGGCAGATTCGAACTGCTGACCTTTTGGCTAGCAGGTGGACACCCTGAAGATACACCAGGCTTCTCTTATTTTCTTCCAACTTTGTGAAAATAGGGTTCCTTTTTGTTCTGTTGCGAACCATTCAAATGGTCATGCAATTCTGTCAAGGAGATTTAGTTTGCACGTCTGTCATGTAAGGAGGGGTGACGGGTAGTTACTGGCCACCTGAGCAAAGAATCCACCGTCCTTTCTCAGCATCTAGGAGCCCTGGTGGCAGAGTGGATGACACATGGGGCTGTCAACAAGGTCAGCAGTTCCAAATCCCAAGCCGCTTCAGGGGAGAACGATGAAACTTTGTACTCCCGCAAAGGGTTACAGTATCACAGCCCCAGAGGGACAGTTTTCTTCTGTCCTGCAGAGTTACTGTGAGCTGGAACTGACTCAATTTCAGTGAGTTTTTCTGGGTTTTACCAGTCTCTCAACACCACACATGCATGTGATAAGAGATAATTCCACGTTACTTTGTAATAAGTTGCCTAAAGTTATCTAGCATGGAAAGCCCAGGTTCACTTCCGGCCCAATGTACTTACCAGGAGTGTGACTACCATTCCTGGTCAGGGAAAGCTTGTGTGCTGCTGCCTAGGTATCAGTAGAGCTCCAGACTAATATGGACTAGGGAGATGGGCCTGGTAGTCAGCTTCCAAACACCAAGCAGGTGGACTCTAGGAGGTTACAAGGGTCCGATCTGCAGCCAACCCCAGGGATGAGATGGCGCTGGGCCAGGCAGCACTGCTCCATTGTGCATGGGATCGTCAAGGGCAGACAAAACGGCAGCTAACGACCAACATTTCTAAAGTGAGGTCACTCTTGGCAGTCAAAGTGTCCTAGCGAAAGGTGAATAAAGCAGCCCAAAGGGGTGTGGGAGGGGGGAGGGGAGGGGGCAGCCCAAGAGAGAGAGAGAGAGAGAGAGAGAGAGAGAGAGGCACCGAGACCAGAATGTCAAGGGAAGAAGGGCGAGTACAGAGAAAACTTCCCACATGTCCTGCTTCTACCCAACTTCTTGCTTGGGGATGGAGACAAGTCCTAATACATGTAGGAGGGCTGCCACACTCTTATCTGCAGGGTAAAGATCGAGGTGGACTGCCTTTTCTCTGGGACTCTCTTGGCTCCCAGTGAGGGGCGTCAATTAGTGGGTGGGCTTCTGATAGCTGCTCCTTCCACCTTCAGGGTTCCCTCAGGGAGGCGAGCCAATGGAAGGCTGACCAGGGAGGGAGGACTTGCGGGGAGAGGGGGGAGCAGGGAGGCGGGGCACTCTCCAAAGCAACTCCAACAACGGACAAGTGCGGCTGCTAAGTCTAGACCATGCTGCCTGGGAATGACAGCAGGAGACCCCGTACAGAATTTAAGACGTGCCCGAGCATCCAATGAACTGAACTCGGATTCTTAACTTGTGTCCTAGCTCTAACGTCGCATGTTTATCTTCTGGGAATGAGCTTCACAGTTATAGATTGATAACAGATGATTTTATATATTTCATTTCTGAACCCACAAGTCAAGCACTTCCATGCCCTTTCACAGATCTAGGAAAAGGCCTCTTGAGACGCATCAGCTTGTGTACCTTACTTTTCCAGCCAATTTCCAAAAGACCAGCTGCGTTACTAAGGCTCCCCACCACCGCTTCTCAGGAGGACAGCCACGGAACTTTCCTCTTGTGGCCACTCACCAATCCAGCCACCTCATTACCTCCCTACAGTGACCACAGGTCAACAGGAATATACAGATACGGGCTGCCGTCAATCTATCTACCACTGGAATGCTGGAACACAGATGTCCGAAGGCGATGCTCCCGTCTGATGGAGACGGGAGGAACAACAGCTTTGGAGGGCTCACTCTTTAGCAGTAGGTGCCCTTTCAGTTCTGAAGCACCATCTCCTTAGGACTTCCATGATTTGTGCCCTGCACCCCCAGAATTAGCTACTCCCAGAAACTCCAAGTTCCCCGATTCAGGGCTCAGGCACGGCAAACCTACAGAGACCCTCTGGGACACAGGGTTTTACCCGGGGCTATACACCAGGGAACAACAGTGGAACTTCCCAGTAAACAAACATATGCTGGGCTCCAAGTCCCAAGATCTTTATTTTACAGATTTAAGGAATATTCCAAGTTTCTCACAGGATTCTGAGTGCCACTCACTAGGAATTCCTTCTCGGACTCAGCAACACGTGCTGGGGGAGGATCCACTGGGAGAAGGTAGAAGTGCATATGGAGTCAGTGTCTGCTGAGGTTGCTAGGTTTTTGAGTTGGAAGCAAAAGACTTAAAATTCTTCCCTAAAGTCTTCTTACATTACTCTATTTGGGGTAAGTTTGGAATTCTCTGTGGGTTAAAACACTGCTCCCCCAAAGAACGCAGTGCCATTTCCTGAGGAGGATCCCTTCCTACCACAGTCCACCCCCTCACCTCCCGGCCCCACTTCCTGACAGAGTTCCCCTCGAGCTGGCTCACTGCTGCCTCGGACCACAGGAGGAACTGCAGAGCATGCGGGTTCCCCATTATGATCAACTCCCCAGCCTTTGCCTGCTGACTGTGCGCACGAGGGCCAGAGCCGCAGCTCCCCGAGGCCCCGTGCAGCAGCCCCTACAGCCGTCGGGGCCCCAGGGCACAGGGCCAGAGCCGCCACCAGGAGTGGAACTCTGGGATCTGACTGTCACAATGCCACTGAGCTCTGGTGGGGGGACTGTCATCAGAGACTCGACTTTTTTTTTTTAAACCAAACTTGAGGGACAAAGCGAATGTTAGAAGCTATTTTACTAGAAGACTTCAAGTCAACCCAAGCATGCCTTGATCTAGGACAGCAAGAGAATGGGAGCAAAGAGACCGACAGGGTCTAGTCGGGCGCACGTCCCCAGGAACGTGTCCGTGAGTGCACGTCCTTGTGCTGGAGGGAAAGGCCCAGGAGCCGCAGGTAGTTCTGAAGGCGGTACCTGATCATCCCGCTGCCCAAGGAAGACACCATGGATGCGAACGCCTGCTCCAGGGGCTTCTCGGAGCCCTTCTGGTTCACCTGCAAAAGAAATACAGTTTTTCCCCAGGCTTATTTTGAAGATTTAATAGGGGGTTCGGATCCAGTTTCATTTTTAAGTGTGAGAAACATACCAGATTGAGGATAACTTGCTTTCCATAAATAATTACTTGGGAATCAAAATGCCTTTGGAAACCGTCCATCTGGGGTAGGGAGGAAAAAGGTATATACGTTATTGGATTATACGACAGGAATATTTACAAGACGTTTGAAAAGACCTCCTTCAATGCCCTAACTCCATATTCGAGGAATGAGGTTAAGATGGGGACCATGCCTTCTAAATACTTCACAGTCCAAAGTAATTGTAAAACTAGTCATTCTACCCTGAGCAGCACTACTACCAGGGTCTTAACTCTGAACACAGTCCTGACTAGCACATGCCACATACTCAGAGAGCGTAACGCTGCAAAGCTTACTGTGCCCTCTAAAACCTAACTTGCCAGCCAGCCTGCCAGTCAGTCCGTTCTCCACAGCGCCAGTGCTGGGCCTTCTGGTGTAGAGATTCTCTGGGTGTCAGAGTCCAGGAGGAGGGCCTCACTGAATTCGGACACCTGGGGAACTAGTGTGTGTTCCACATGCAAACTGTAACCCAGGAATCAAGGGGAAAGCAGCATGGAAGAGACTCACATGATTTGCTACTTTGTTGATCTGTGGCAATGGTTTGTACTTGAGGTTTGGCCTCTGGGACCAGAAAACAGGGATGGATCCTCGTGTCTAAAAGGAAAGAGAGAAACGAAGTGAAAAACACACATCCTTGTTTTTCTCAGCTTACTGTCAGAACACCCGTATGTTCAGTGATTTTGCAAAGCAAAGAAACAAAAACAAAAAAATCACACAATTTACAGCAATTCCAGGAAAAGTCCCGGTGTACTGCTCCCACAGGTTGGTACTTTGTGGGAGTACATTTGGAAAGGGTGCCCCTCTCTGATTTTGTGTGTATGAAGCTTAAGCAGTGGACAGTTGTTTCCCCCTCAATTCTAACATAAACTGATTAACAAAGCTATCATTGTTGACATTATGAGAAACGGAGAAACCTGTGGCATTTCTTCTCAACTGAGCAGCACAGGGCCATGCTGAGCTACTCCTGCTCTGGAGCAGCCAATGATGCAGAACTTGAAAGAGGCAACTCCCACCGGGTACTGCCTCACAGCAAGTGAGCAGCTTGTCCCTCCCTCCTGCATCACCCTGAATACATCTTAAGGGTAATGCAGGCAGGTGGCTCTGTTTGCAAAACCCTTGCCAGACTCCCACCCTCTCTTTGAGGGACTTCATTCCGAGCAGAAAGTTATGACCCAGGTAAAAACAGCCCACTGCTGGCCACCCAACTCTGCCTGCAGGACACAGTAACTTACCTGCACAAATGAGGCTTTGCTTCCATTGTAGTGCACTATTTGTTCTGTTTCTACAAAGTTCGCTGCATGCCCTTCCGAATCAATCCCTGAATAAAAAAAGAAAAAAAAAAGTTAACTATCTTTATTATAAAGGGAACACATCAGAACCTCACTAATTCACAACACTTGGAAACAATCCAACTCAAAATCTCATCACAGCGACCCTACAGGGCAGGGTAGAACTGCCCCTGTGGGTTTCTGAGACTGTAACTGTTTACGGGAGTAGAAAGTCCCATGTTTCTCCTGGGGAGCAGCTGGTGGTTTCAAACGGCTGACCTCATGATTGCAGCCCATGTAACCACTACACCACTAGGGCTCCTCAAGAAAGACTCAAGAATAAGGCAGTTCAAATGAGCAGAAAAGGACTTATAAACATAAATTTCAAACAAATGCACAATGCATGATCACAAAGCTAACAGAAGCACACGTGTTTAAGCAGATTGAGGGGAATGTTAAAGAAGAATTACTAAAGTTGGCAGCTACTTAATACATCAGTTGTTCATTCGTTAACCTCCTTTCTGATGCGTTTCTTAAGCCCAACAATGACGTGCCCGTGTGGCACTGGATGTTCAGTGTCTGTGGAGGAGGCCCCAGACGTGAACAAGATCACGGTGTCACACCAACCATAAAAGGGTTTCTCACTGCTCTTCGGGATTGCCCGTCAGAAGCACAGACTGCATGTTTCTCACCACAGTTCTCAGTAAGGAGGAGCGTAGTTACAGAAGAGAGATCTGTGGAAAGAGTTCTAAGATAGATTGTGAAGTTAAAGGAAAACAAAAACACCAAGGTCAGAGAGCCACAGAGCCGACAACGGCTGTGTAAACAGAAGAAGAGGCGGACACACGCCTGCACCGGTATGAAAGTCAGCTGGCAGGTAAAATGGAAAGCCAGCTAGCTGTTGAGAACTCAAAGTGTGGGGTAAAACACGAGATTTTTAAAATTCAAGTCTTTTCAACTTTTTGATGTTTGAACAATGTAAATGTTACCTATTCAAAACATCAAATTACAAAACGCTTTCATCCACGAAAATCCAGGTCCCAGGGAGTTGCTAACTCCTAATTCTGGTTCTGTCCTTGGCCAAGTTCAGCAGTGCCTTTCACCCTCAGCTCTGTCATCTCTGAGGGAGATTAACCATATAACCCCACAATCGCCCAGCTCAAAGCCAGCGTCCATGTCATAGCATATTAGGTTTCATTCTGATAGCTTCTGGCAAAAGGTTAAAACAGACTTGGAAAAACTTTTTTCTTGGGAAAGTAATTTAATAAACATTTTAAAAGCTTGGTTTGAACAAATTAGCATCTTGGTAGTAAAAGTCTACAGAAAAAATGTTCAAAATGTAAATATACAGTTCATTCAAGAATACAAGGAAGAACGTCCCGATACTGAGTTGGGATTACTGCGAATGACATTAAATGAGCTGTGCTTCAGGCCCCCAGAAAACAACAGTGAACAGGCCCTCTCTCAGCAAGCAGGGGCAGCTCGATGTCACACCGCCACTTACGACGTCATTACGGCAGCTGGGCCAAGCACGAGGGGGGCGGGGG